TTCATAAATATATTTTTACATAAATACTATGTATGTAAAGTAAATATATGTATGCATGTCCACGTTTATTAGTAAAATTTGTAGAGCTGTGAACTTAACATAGTTTCGCTAGAGTGTAATATAATTACGTATGTAAAATCTTTACATTAGTTGTCAATTTAAATTACTCATTAGACCATAGGTGCATTGGATGACATTGATTTGTGTGACCAGCTTTGATTTATGCACTCGCAGTTTATTAATTTCATCAAAGCATAGTGACTCGTTTTTACAGGGTCTAAAATTAGAAGTGCTTTAATATTGGTTGCATATTAGAAGAATTTAGAAGAATTAAAAGATTACCATTTGAGTTGTAGGTTGGGAAAAATTTGAACAGAGTCAATATAATAACTATTATATTTTAAAATTTTCGTATAATCATGAAGAGCGTTGAGGAAAAAAGAAAAACAGCTACATACATACATATGAGGACATAAGGGCCTATCTACAAAAATAATGAACTGTGATATATTGAGTTATATTATACATATTTATATGTATTGATAAATATTGAGATATTTGGAAAAAGTTCATTACAGCAATGTGTTGACGCCTGTCACATCATAAGACAACTAAACCGGGACTAAATCTCAGTTAGGCTACCCTGGCTCCCATGGCTCTCATGGCCTCATATTTAAGTTAGAATATCGTGCTTTAAAAATTTATTATATGTAGAGACAAAATTTGTTATTTTCTAGCTTTTTTCAGGAGGAATTTAAAGCTTCTGTACTGTATATTCAGACTGTACATAGGCGATCCAAGAGGCCAATTACACAGCATCTTTGAAAAAATCGACAAAAAAAATAATTATTTTTTTAGGTTTTTGGCTCAATTACGACAGAAATTTTTTCTAACCTCTATGATTACGAATCAGCTATCAAAATCCAAAAAGGCATTCGAATTAAAAAAAAAAAATGGATTTTATATAGAAATTGGTGTCTAGGGGTTCTTGAGATCGCTGATTACGAATATGAATTCAGATTTTTAAATTCAAAATGGCTGTTACAAAATTTGTTTAATTTCTATGAAATTTGTCACCTGTATTGGTTTTTGAATCTACAGCTAAGTGTCTTAGATCGAAATCTAACAAGGATTTGAAAAAAAGTCCACTGACTTTCAATTTGTAATTAAATCTATGATTTTTGGTTAATCTGAAATTAAATAATTTCGTAAAAGTTCGGCCGCCATATCAAATCTGCTATTTTGGATTTTTCAAATTTCGCTTCATAACAACGCACAGCAGCATTTCTGATGATAAGGTTACGTCACATGATACTGGCCTAATTTTTAGTTATGATTTCAAATATATGATTGAAATTTCTGTATCAGCTCTAATTTAGAAAATATGACACATACAAAGTATTTTCGAGCATTTATTTATTTTTTGATGGAAGAAACTGCCTGAAGAAAATTGCCAAAAATCAACGGTAGGTCTCAGATACTTCAAACTTGCACTTTGTTGTATTAAAATTGATGGAGCTGCAAAACTGCGTACTCAAAAAAAAATTCTGAAAAATCTGATTAAAAAGTTGGAAATTGCATAAAAATTTATTGAATTTTTCTCAGTCTTGCACAAAGTGAATGAACCACATTTTTGTAAAAAATAAGCGGAAAAAATCAAAATTAAAATTATTGCATATATTGAAAATTCTCTGTGCCAATACTTTTTTCCGGCAATGTAGTTAATATAATTTATTAAGATTTTAAGTTGAAACAAAAACTTTCTTTCACAAGACTTGCTTGCAGAAGTTGCAACCAGAGCGCTGTTCTGAATGCTCCAACAATAGTCAGCCAACGTACGAAGGTGAAAGCTAGAGTAAACAAGAGCTGCGAGAAAACAAATGAGGGTATATTTAGAATAAGCGACGTCGAATTGGTAAACATCATCTGTCATAAGTCATTCATCAGGACAAAAGTGCAATTCAAGAATTAGACAAAACCATCAATGTTTGTAAAATTTTGTCTGTCACATAAAGTCCGCCAGTTTTTTAAGGTAAGAAAAAATCCTGACGTGATGCAGAAAAACGGACTTTAGATTCGTGTTCAGCGACCCCAAAAAATATATGAAACACCTATTTGGTCAAAAGAGCCATTCATTGAATTTTTTTGTGGTCCTGTTTTTGTATTAACTTCCTAATGGAGAACCCGCTGTACAAAAATCGATTATGCATATACATATATGTATATGTTTGTATGTATTTATAAACACAAATGTACTTGTACATACATATGCAAGTATAAGTATTTATGTACGAAATTGAATAAGTGAGTTTACAAAATTTCATTATAGCCAATGTTTCAATACCTAGTTGATTTATTTTTAATTATTTAAATTCCTGGCAAGTAATATTATTTGGCATTCAGAGACTTTCAATTCTATTAGTTATAGGTAAATATGTGTAGTATGTTCAACTAATGAAATAAAATGATGCAATGATGTATTTATAATGCATTCGAAATTATTATTAAAATATATACATACATACACATATTTATGTAGCTATATATATATGTATGTATTTACTAATACACATACATAACTGCAGTTTGCCTGCATAAATGTGAACACGCAATTATTAATTTTTATTTTTAATCAAATTCGGTAATCCTAAATGCCTGTCATGAATAGTCCAGAGAAGTTCAACCCTGTTGCTGTTCTCTGAAATTAGCACCTAGAATTATATGCAATTTATCGAGCAAATTATTTTATGTAACTATGTTGAAAATGTAACTATTTAAGTAGTAAGTCATCAAAACACTCGTGTAAGTGTACAATTGCGGATATGAAGTAGGTCTGGTTTTATACAGGGTAGGCCATTTTTTAATATTGGTGTTATTCTCTTTCTCTTGGAAAATCATAATGGATACTTACAGCAAGACCACCCACAACGACTACAATTCGCTATTCGTTTTACACAATTAGCCACGAAAATTGATTTTCTAGGTAATGTTTTGATGTCGGATGAAGCGCATTTCCAAGCAAAACTGTAGATTGTGGGGCTCTAAGAATCCAAGGGCAACACACCAGCACCAGTTACACCCGTCCAGATGCACTGTTTGGTGTTTGGTTATCGGCCTACATTTTTTCGGGAATGAGGATGAAGCGCCAGAAAACATTTGTGTGGTTTCTTACAGAACAACTTTTTGCGGCCACCGGCAGCTTAGACACCCAGAGGCTGGTAACCAACAAGTTGCAGCGTCATCTGGTGGAGTACATAAGTAAGTTGCGATTATCGGATCAAGAAAGTTGACATTGATAGTGTAGTCCCATCTAGTGCTTATCTATGACTGCATAGAGTCCGCTAACGCTTAAGTCATGAAATGTTCCTCTCACTAAAAGTCTAAAGTCATTCGCATGGGAAATAATCAGGCAGCATCTAATCACCAGCTCTTCTAGCAGCAGGCTATTTTCGACCCAAATCCAAAGTAAGGCTGAGAGAATACCAACCTGCGGCATGCCCATGTTTACCTTACCCTGGAATTTTGGCACTGCCCCAGTCTGCTGCAGCAGTTCCGCCTCAGATTGCGTGGTACAAAACCGTAAGTAATGCGGTATAGACCACTAGCTTACCAAGGGATTCGCCAATATCCCCTCAAGGGGAATGCTAAAAGCCACTCGATCTCGTGAAGCAGTGAAGTTGAAATGAAAGAAATCTTCCATTATCGACTTTATGATCGTGTGCAGGGCGATCTCGACCGACCAACAATTGTTGTATGCATTATGAGCTAATGACAGGCGTAGAAAAAAATGTTATTTCCTCATAATCGTCTTTGCAAAAAACAGTAAGAAGAGAAGGAGATTTTACTTAAAAAATATGTATATGTTTGTACGTATGACAGTAAGGAATAACACCCGAAGTCCGAGCTTGCTTGACTACAATGTACCATTCGATGTGTATGCTTGCGAATGCTGCACAACAAAGATAATACCTATTGATGCCAGAATGTTTTCCTAATACTACCATCAAGTCTTATCAAAAAAATTCCCTTTAGTTTGGGTAGTACTATTTGTATTTGTCGTCGACTTTTTATCCAACTTCGTATTCGTCTTTTTCTTCCACTCCGTATTCGACTTTGCATTCGTCTTCGTATTCAACTTCAATTCAACTCGGTATCTATTATGCGTATTCGTATTCAACTTCGACTTCATATTCGTCTGCGAATTTCACTTCGAATTCGCCTTCATATTTATTTTCATAGTTGCCTTTGTATTCATCTTCTTATGCGCCTTCGTATTATTCGTCGTATTCGACTTCAACTTTGTATTCGACTACGTGTTCGACTTCGACTTCGTATTCGACTTCGCTTCCGCATTTGTTTTCCTATTGCATTTTGAATATGACTTCGTATTCGCTTTCGACTTCGTATTCTTGTCCGTATTCGTATCCCCCTTCGTATTATATTTTGTATTTGCATTGGGCTTCGCGGTCGACTTCGTATACGTATTCGTCTTAGTCTTCATATACATACGTCCTCGAATTTGTCTCCGTATTGGACTTTGTATTCGACTTCGACTTCGGCTTCGCGCTCGTATTTGTACTTATATTCGATTACATATTACCCTTCGTATTCGTCTTCGTCTTTCTATCCGTCGTCATATTCAGCCTAGACGTTGTCTTCACATTCTTCTTTGTCTTCATTTGATTTTTCATAACTTTTGCCTTTAGCTTAACCTTAGGTTTAGTCTTAACCATCAACCCCTCATACAATTCTTTAGCAATTTTTTAATATGTACAATGATAATATTTTCATTCTTACCGCAGAAAAGAAACAATGCATCACTTTGATGTGTTAATATAAAAAACACGTGAAAGCAAATTAAAAAAAAAAATAATAATACAAAAAACAAGGAAGATTAAATTTTCCTGAGCAACTCTTTTTTCATCTCCGATAGTACATATGTATGTATTTACAAATATTGACTTTATTTGCTACATTTAATTAATTTCGTTTCGACTCACCTGTGCATCGGTGAAAAGAAAGACCGTATGATTCAAATTGAAACTGGCTGTCATCAGTATCTTCTTCAGATCATCACGCCAATCGGTTTGCGAGTATGTCTTTGTCACCTGCACGGTCATCAGGCGACAATCGGCAATGCTGGCGGCCAGTCTGCATGAACTACGACGTCCCGAACCACCCATGCCGACCATAAGGATATTGCCGCGCGGCATTTGCAATACACGCGAGACCCTGCAGCACCAACGCAGGCGCATAACGGTAATGGCACGGTGGTGCCAATTGTAATAGCGACACCGCCATTGGGATAAACCAAAACAGCAGCAGCAGCAGCGGATGAAATCAAATGAAATGCAATGAAATGAGAAAAAAAAGAAAAGAAAAAAACAAATTGCAATGGCTGAGTGAATGCAGCAGCAATGAGTGAATTGAGCGTACAAACGCGCGGCATACAGATGAACAGATAAGTGAATTTCGGTGTTGTGTCGGTTTGATGACCAGCGGTATAGCTGGTTACAGTACGGCCACTGGTTGCTTGCCGCGCACGGCATGGTGGTGGCAATGAAAACCGCATGAACGCAGGCGGCGAAACTACGACCACAAACGCCATTGGGCGTGGTGGTGGTACGCCATATAGCGCGGCGGCGGTAACATCAGTGTGCTACCGCAAAAACATAAAATTAATAGAGTTGCCATATTGCGTTGACACGCACATGCACGCCGTTGCAGTACAGCCGATAATAATATCTACTGAATTTTGTACACACAATCACACGCTTGGCTGTTTGGTTGGCTGCCATTTGCGCGCTTGCATGACACAGGCGCGTCCGTCACGTATACGCCACGGACACAACCGCGAGCCTGACGCTGGTGCAGTGCTGATTTGGAAAATGCATTTAAATACATATGTACATACATTGTATTTGGCTATGTGTTTGTGTATGTTTGTGCATACATATTTGCATTTTAATTCGCACGCATGCACGCTTGATTGTGTAGTAGTAATTGTTCGTTTGCAGTCAGCCGCCAGAACCGCCGCTACAGCCGCGCTCTACTCACCTCGATATATGTTCGATAGCGAAACGAAATAACACCAAGTCCATTGGTGTATTCGAGAATGCATTGTAATCGCGCAGATAGTAGTGCATCAGTTTTTCCAATTTATCATAACTTTCGACCTCATCGTAAATTTTCGGATCTGCATCTGGCTCCAAATAATTACCGTAAAATAAATTCCGCAAATCATCATCGGTCAGTTTGGCACCCGGCTCGGATAAGCGGTCGGCGAAAGCTCGCTCCAGTGGTAAGCGTATATTCGTTTTGCATGCATTATTCACCATGTCCAGCAGTGCATCACGATCCCGTTGCTCAATCAGACTGCAATAATAACAAGCAAGCACAATAACAAAATATGACATGCAATGTGATACAATGATGATGGTTATCCAGCCCTGTGGCCGGCTTAGTAACTGCATGTACCCTATGTATGTATGTATGTGTGCATGTATGTATGTATGTATGTATGCAGTACTTAGTGCAAAGCCGTGCTATAGAAATTTCGATTGAAATGCTGAATGTCGAATGATTATGAATTATGATATCAATGCGAGTAAAATTAGCGTAATAAAGGCGCTTATTGCTGGCGGTAAATAGCCGCCGCATATGCAAACCGTGCAAAACCGTGAATGGACTGCAATTGCAAAGGTATCTATTACCTATCTCAGCATGCATGCATTCCAGCAAAATTAGCAAACATACGAAAAGGCATCATTAAGTCTACATATCCATATTGTTTTTCTACTTAGTGCAATTAGCACTGAAAATTCAGGTATTGGAATTCGTTGGACTTTTTTTGTGCAAAGCAACTGGCATTAGAGATTAAAAGTCCATACTAAGCGATGCGTATGTATGTATGTATATGTATATGCAAAGCTTAAAAATCAGTTTTACGAGTTGGAAATATTATTTAGCAAGTGCAATTAATGTTTTTCTCCCTTGCATTGACAAACCAGGTACTCACAAGCCTCAATGTATATCCGGTCAAAACGGATATAGTGTTCTTCATCGGGAATTATATTGTACTGTTCTAGGGAGAACTAATGTGGTGGACAACAATGAATACGAAAACATGTGCAAAACTTATCAATAGGGTAGGAATAATAGCAGCACTGAGGACTAGGACGACAGGGGCACTGAGCATAAAAACATAGCACTGAAAACTCGATGCTGTTGGTCAATTCAACTGCAGTCCATACTATCATCTGGTGGGAAACATAAACTATATCGGAGAAAGTTTTTTAGATATGATGGAGGAGGATGGATGGCGCAAGGGTCTGCAATTGGGAGGCAGAGGAATTCATGTGTTCTCAGATGCAACGATAGAAGGTGTAGGTATATATATATTTCAATGAAATAGGAAAACAAAGTAGCTCAAACTACCAAACTACTGCTGCATCTTCCAGACAGAAGTCACGGCCATAAAAAAGCGGTGGAGCTTCCGAACAGCGGCGGTTTGCTCATAGCAAACTAGTTTATTTCTATATGGATAGCCAAGCAGCGATAAAATCCATAGTGTCAAATACGACGACCTCAAAGAATGCGCTAAAATAGAAAAATTAATTAACACTCCTAGCATAAACTAGAAAAATTCACTTGTACTGGGTACCTGGGTATAGGAGCATGCGGGAAACGAAAGCGAGGATGCTCTGGCAAAGCAAGGAGTGCTACTAAACATTGAAATCTTATCTCCCTACTGGTTCTTAAAAGGGAATGTGTCCCAAGACCCGGAAAAAGCTAGCCCTATAACATGGGGGAAAAGTAAGTAAGTATAAGGGACATGCTTTGGTCACCTGATCTGAAATAACCAAAACTTATACTTAAACTCATAAGGATCGACTGTAGAATTCTGTTGGTTTTCATAAGGGCTCACAATTTGTTAGTCCTTAAAATGGGTTTGGCAAGTAGTGATAGCTGTAGGAAGTTCAAAATGGAAAAAGAAAAGGTAGAGCTCATACTTTGGCGACCTCAAATTGGTGTAGACGTGAAGGACTCAGCCTAAAATTGTTTTCGTTTCGTTTACAATCTATAAATAAGTTTTCGAGTCGGTCATACTTGGAGGGACCGTGCTCAAATACCCCGAAGAAACCAAATATCTAGGAATTAAGTTAAGTAAAGGACTTAGTTGGAACTACCATCTTCATAAAACTATTGCTGAAAGCAGACGCGGTTTTGATATGTAGTCTTTACTCCAATTTGACAGAGTGATCTTACCGCATGGTCAGCCAGCTAACTGATTACGCCTTTTGCTTCCATAGCCATGATGAAAGTACTTCAACACTATCTGATGACAATATTTCTCCCTGGTTATAAAGATGTGGTCTTTCTGACCCCATGACCAAATAGATTTATCTTAACAGAAAGTTTATAGTGAAAATCTCAGATCGTGAAACTGGACTAAAGAGCTCCCTGTTCTTGATTCCAGATACGTACATTGACACTATGGTGGTTCAAGGATGCATGACCGACCATCCCCTCCGATTATTCATCATCACCTAGAGTCATATGAAGATTTCAAAACCGACAAAAGACCTACGGGCTAATTTTGATCGCTGAAA